CTGGCATCGAGCACACGATCTCCATTCGTCAGTGCCCCACCGTTCCCTGGGCCACCCACGTGGGCCTTGAGGTTCGAGCAGGCAGTGCAGACCCCTGGTGGTATCAGTCGATCCATACCCCCAGAGCATTCCCCACAGTGGACAGACCCAGGATCCCACCCGACCCCAACAGCAAGTCGGCCATCAAGAGACGCAAAACAGCAGAAGCTCGAGCAGCACGCCTACGCGAACTACCTCCTGAACTCCAACAAGCAGCAGCACAACTCCAGCCTCAAGACGAGCCCGCAGCACAGGAGCCCATCCCTTACGCTATCCCGACCGACCTCTGGGAGGAGCAATGGCAGCAAGCAGTGCCCACACGTTGTAAGCAGCCCCACGCGCACTTCGTGTACACTCACTGGACGCACGACGCCGACGACCTCAACCTCAAGTACGCCAAATGGGTCACGGCGCTCGAGAACACCATGATCAGCCACCACCAGATAGACCCCAAGGAAGCCGCAGCTTTCACAGGCCGTGCCCAAGGCTACCAATTGTCCTGGAAGAAGACGGCCGCCGCCCCAGGCCGCGTTCACGTACATGACCCTCAGTCAGAATGGTGGGCAATCACGCTCACCCTCATCAAGCGCTACGCTGCGCTTCACGACAAGCCCAAGCACACAGCGCTCATGCAGCAGCAGGCCTCCATCATCCATCAGCGCGCGGACCACTTCAGCACTCACTTTCACGACCTCCAGTTCGAGAAGGACGAGGACACCATCTTCCGCTGGTTTGCACTCGTCTGGGCCCCGCACTTGGACAACGAGGACACCGACGACTTGGTCACCATTACTGCTACTTGGGCCTCCAGAGCGCTTTCCGCCGCCCTCGCCAAGTCCAAGAGGGCCTACGGCGCCTGGCTCGCCAAGCAATGGAAACACCGCCCTGGAGTACTACACGCCCATGTCAAGCCAGCGCCCGTGCGTCACATCGAGGCCTACACGACCAACCTGACCATCGCCGACCCCACCGTTATCATGGACAGCAAGAAGCAACAATGGCAACAAGTATGGCAGGCCACAGAGACCCCTGACGACATCCTACAGGCGCTATCAAAGGCCAAGGCAGCAGCCGCACACCAACCGCTCGAGCCCATCACAGCCGAGATCGTGCAGCGTTTTCACGGCCGCATGCCACCCAGTAAAGCACATGGAGTGGACGCACTTGGACCTCGCGACCTCCATCGACTACCAGAACCAGCAGTCGAAGCCTATGCGGATATCCTCAACGCAGTAGAGCAGGCAGGCATTTGGCCACTACAGATCTCAGACACTATTGCAGCCCTAGCAGCCAAGAAGTCTGGAGGCGGCAGAGTCCTCGGCATGCTACCTCACATGGCCAGACTCTGGTCTCGTATCAGATCGACGGCATCTACTTCCTGGACCCAAGGACTGGATGACTTTTGGACTACAGCCATCAAAGGCTCCTCAGCTCTCCAGGCAGCCCTGCACAGGGCCTTGTTAGACGAGACAGCCTCAGCACTTGGCATACAGTCAGCCACTTTGCTATTGGACATCCAGAAGTTCTACGACAATATCAAGCTCGCCAACCTCGTCATGGTCGGCCTCAACTGCGGCTTCCCACCCATCGTTCTACTTCTGGAAGTACAGCTATACCTCGCGCCCAGATTCTTGCGCAGCCGACAATGGGTGAGTATGCCTATCTTCGCCTCCAAAGGCATCATCGCAGGCTCCCCGCATGGCACGACCTTGGCGCGACTCATATTACTTCCTATTCTACGGCAAGCCCAAGCCCAGGCTGAGCTAGCCCAGATGTGGACCTTCGTAGACGACACCGTCCTTCGAGTCGAAGGAGTCCTACGCACACTTCAGAAGCACCTCCCCCGTGCCGCCAAGACGCTCTGCGACGGTCTAAAGGAGTTCGAGCTGCCCATCTCTGACAAGACGGTCCTCATCGGCTCCACCCCCAAGGTCCGCAAATCGCTTGCCAAGAAGTTGCGGCAGTACGACATCCCTGTCACAGCGACCGCCACGGCCGTTGACCTCGGAGTCGACGCGGCCGCGGCTACTCGACGAGTACAAGCAAAAGCCAGGAGGCGACAGAGCCCAGCCGCAGCTAGGTTTCGCAAGATACACCGACTACGGAGCACTGCACAGCAGGCTCGAATCTCAGCAGGACTGTGGCGTACTGGCGCTCTCCCCGAAGGAGTCTTCGGTCATCAGGTGCACGGCCTTGCCCGACACGCTCTACTACGATGGCGCCGTCCGGCCGCCATCGCGGCCACGGGGGCAGCAGCGGGCCGATGCCTCACCTCCCTCCTCGGCGCCACCTTCGACGGCATGGACCCAGGAGTTTCCCTAAGAATCGAGTTCATCGAGGCTTGGCTCCAGCACTGGATACGCCACCCGAGCACGCACGCCAGGATCATCAGAGCATGGCCAAGGATCAAGACCAACTTGCTAGCCGCAGGCCCCAAGCTGTGGTGCAGGGTCAAGGGGCCCACTGGCGCGGCCATCGCGACACTGCTGGAGGCCAGCTGGGAGCCGACCTCAGCCACCACGTGGAGGCGCACAAAGGACGGCTACATTGAGGAGTGGAACCTCCCCTCTGCCCACGACCCTGACCTCCCCGACGCCGACATCCACACAGTATTGCAGGACCTCAGCGAGGATTTGCACAGGCTCCTTTGGACTCAGGCCGCTACACATGACCATGGCGACACGCTGGCTGGAGGAGCGGACATGGTCACTATCCGCATCGAGCAAAGGAGGTTCCTCGCAAACGGTGATTTCAGCGACTGGGCCCTCAACAACACCGTCATCAGTGGAGGACAATGGACCAGGGACCGCCTCCACAACTCGGGCTACCAGGTCGACAGGAACTGCGACCGATGCAGCGCAGGAGTTCCTGAAACCCTGTTTCACCGTATGTGGCAGTGCGAGGCGAACGTGGGACCTGAGTTTGAGGCCAGTGACAAGCTAATACCGCGAGCCGTGGCGGGGGCCGAAGCTGACCCTGCCCTGTGGCTCCGTGGCATTCCCTCCGCCGCTCTCACTACGCCCGCGTTCGAGCCATTGACTGGGAGGGACGGGTGGGAGTTCGTTGGTGCGGTGCGGGATGGGTTGCCGTCGTGGGAAGGAGCTCGTAACGCTGAGGGCGAGTTGTTTCTTTTTGGCGACGGGTCTGGCGGCGCCTTTTCCGACGACGTCAGACGAAGACGCGTTGGTTCTGGCCTCGCTGCCCTCCGATGGGACCCTCCCTCGGCCTCCTGGGCCCTCCATGCTGGCCTCCTCGCCCCCCTCCCAGGCCCCCGCCAGACTGTCCCAAGAGGCGAATTGCATGCGTTTTGCCTGGCTCTCGAAACGTGCCAGCAGGATTTCACGTTTGTTACTGATCACCTAGCCCTACAGCGCGGCTGGCAGAATGGCAGATGTCTCCGACCTGGCAGCCTCAGAGGCAAGAATAAGAATGGGGATCTCTGGCTGAGAATTCGGCACCTCGTGCAGGATCGATCTGGCGGCTGCTCTTCGGTCTCGGTGCTCTGGACCCCATCTCACGCCGATCCCCTCACTTTGAATGGTTTCCAACAATTTATGGCTCTCGGCAACCAGCATGCCGATGAGCTCGCAGGAAGCGCAGCCCACAAGTCGGCCACCCTTGCCCTCCCGCCTGTCCCCAGGACTGATGAATATGACGCTATTGCAGCCATCGTCCGACAGAGGGCCCGACTGATCTTACGTTCCTTAGGCAAGAATTCAGAGCCTCGAGGACAGTGGCCAGAAAGGCAACCCACCCAGGTTGCAGCCCCCCGCTCTCAGTTGCAGACCGCGATCGCGGCTTCTCAGCACAAATTCGAGCGGTGTGCAGACAAATGGAGATGCCCTGCTTGCCTCATCATCGTTGACGCGTGCCACGTTATTCCAGCTGCCGCCACTGAGTGTGTGCCGCCTTGCCCCCTTCCCGAGTTCGCCGCGTGTGGAGAGGTGCTGTGGTCGAGGGGTCCCCGCGTGATCAGTGGCAAGTTGATCCACCCCTCCCACTTTTTGGCCACCATCCCCAAGTGGCAGTTGTTCTTTTGTGTGAAGTGCGGCCATACGGCCACGCACCAGGTTAAAAGCCTTCTTTTGCCGTGCCCTCTCTCCCACCAAGTGGGAGAGCGCAGGGCCCTGGGACCCACTGGCAAAGGCCTCGAGAACCTCAGCAGGATCAGGCGAGGCCTCCACCCGTCCAGAGCGGGTCCCAGCAAGGCAGTGCTAGAAGCTTTGCACGTTTCGGCAGCCGAAGCCCCGATCGGTTCCTTCGCGGCGGGTGCTGCCACCGAGTAAATTTGCGAGGCCAGGGGGGCCTGTCGCGGTGGGCCGTGGGATGTCGCCCCCCACGGCCCTCCGAGAAATACTGGATGGCCCCCCTGGCATCCCTGGGTTCCGAACGGACTACGTCCGATTGCTCCACTCCACTCCTCCTCCTCCTCCTCCTCCTCCTCCTCCTCCTCCTCCTCCTCCTCCTCCTCCTCCTCCTCCTCCTCCTCCTCCTCCTCCTCCTCCTCTCGCTCCTCTCAGCAGGCCCCCCAGCCAGTCTGACGAGGTCTCGGCCAGGGGTGTTGAGACTGCCTCAGAGGCCTGCTGAGGCCAGCTGGGACGACTCGTGGGGCATGCTGAGGTCAGCTGGGGCCACCTGGACGCGCGCTGTCTGTGCGCAGCCCGAAGCCTCTCCACACCCAGAGATCCGATGTGGTGTTTTTTCAATACCGGGTCCCCGGAAGTCTCGACCCGTTCCCCATGGACCGGTTTTTCATCCTAACTCGCTTTTTGAAAGTCCCGGGGCCCCGCGATGGCCCCTGTAGAGGCCGAAAGTTGCGAAAAGCCTCCGCCTCGATATTGTTCAATGCGTTGGATGACCTCTGGGTATCGTGCGAATGCCGAAGCCTTACCGAACCTTCCCTCCCGATGTTCCCCACGACGCGGCGATGATTAGGCCCGTGCAAAAACAAATGACAACAGGAGGACGCGGCGGCCACGAGGCTGCTGGCCGAGATCCACGCCGCCTGCGACGAGGGCCGCGTGGCCGCGGAGCCCGCGGCCGCGGCCCGGCTGCTCGACGTCCACCCACCGGGGGGGGGGGCTGGGCCTCCCTCCTCCTCCTCCTCCTCCTCCTCCTCCTCCTCCTCCTCCTCCTCCTCCTCTCCTCCTCCTCCTCCTCCTCCCCTTCCTCTCCTCCTCCTCTTCCTCCTCCTTCCTCCTCCTCCTCTCCTCCTCCTCCTCCCTCCTCCTCCTCCTCCTCCTCCCTCCTCCTCCTTCTCCTCCTCCTCCTTCCTCCTCCTCCTCCTCCTCCCCTTCCTCCTCCTCCTTCTCCTCTTCTCCACCTCCTCCTTCTCCTCCTTCTCCTCCTCCTCCTTCTCCTCCTTCTCCTCCTCCTCCTCCTCTTTCTCCTCCTTCTCCTCCTTCTCCTCCTCCTTTTTCTCCTCCTGCTCCTCCTGCTCCTCCTCTCCTCCTCCTCCTCCCTCCTCCTCCTCCTCCTCTCCTCCTTCCTCCTCCTCCTCCTCCTCCTCCTCCTCCCTTCTCCTCCTCCTCCTCCTCCTCCTCCTCCTCCTCCTCCTCCTCCTCCTCCTCCTCCTCCTCCTCCTCCTCCCCTCTCGCAGCGACAACAGTGCAGTGGACGCGGAGCGGCGTGGCCGCTTCCGCCCCAAGACAGTGGAGCCTCATCGCTCGGGAAGACCCAAGCGCTCCAGTGGCTGGGATGCTCGTCCTGATTCAGATCGTCGTCCGCCTGCTCCTGCTTCCCATCGTGGATCGGACCCTGGCGCCCCTGCTGCCTGGATGGCGGTGCCTGCTGGGGGCCAGTCCCTCTCCGACAACCAACAAGCCAACATCCTGCAGGCGGACGCCACCCTCCCCACCCCAGATGAAGTGGATGGCACCCCTCCCGACCCGTGGGCACAAGCGGCCGCTCGGCTTCCTCCTCGTGGCGATGCCCCTGCTCGCGCTGCACAACCTGTTCGTGCCGAACCTCAGGTGTACCACATTGGCGCGGACGACGACGTGGGGGACCCTCCCGGGGGGGCAGGGGGGGAGGGGGGCGAACGCCATGCCAGAGTTTTACTTGCCCGAACCGTT